GTTCAAAGTCTTTCATGTGCCGTGACTGATTACCAACGCTCTCTCTCCCTCTCCCTGTGTCAGGGTTTGCGTCCCCTCCGAGAGTTGCGTATGAAAGACAAAACCTGAAGACCAAGAGGGCAAGGAAAGGTAGATGCAGTCAGGGGCAGGATACACGTACACGAGCCTGATGATGGCCATGTCTGACTGTGTGGTCAAGTCGATAGGTATATTTACTACCTCGAACGGCTCCTAGCATCGAAAGGGCCTTGCTTGCCCTCAATAAAGAAGTCACCATTGGGTAGGACTACATCTCTCCGTGCCCATTCTAGGAAATCAAACTCGGGGAACTTGGGGAAGAAGGCCTATCGTCGAGTAGTCTATAGGCAGTGTTTGATTGTCGTTGACCTTGAACCACTCCCACCCATCCAGCCCAATTTGACCTGACCAATCGACCTAGGAAGGCGTCTGCTGTGCTGATGACGGAGACCGTGTTGAAGGGGGTGAACTTCCTGTGTGTATGTATCTAAGTAGCAGAGCATGAATACGTTGCTTCTACCAAAGTCTAGTCTCGAATCCAGAGGCTGGCGACCGAGACTTTCATTGCTCGAGACTAAGAATGGCCATTTCATAAAGCATTCAGATATTGTATGCCACGGATGCAAGATTCACCAAAGGTCAAGTAGTAATGCGTAAGAAGAGATTCGAATCTGGAAGAAGTGATGGGTGTTGCTCAAAGTCATATCTGTCCCCGGCTTTTCTGTCCCCCCTCGCCCGCCCAGGCAAAGCAACAAACATATAGCGCTCATCTAGCCATGTATCTTCGGCTTGAAACGAAATGAGTGCTCAACGAAAAGCAGTAAGAACTTAAAAAACTTCAAAGCCGCTGCTGAGCCGCGACCAGTGGCCCGTTGTATCATCCAACCCGTGTGGTATCATCTTCCTGAGTCCTGACTGACTCGCCCAGGTCACCATACAGAGACGTGCGTCACTTCTCATCCCTGAAAGCTGCGTCTTCTGTGCTCCTTCTCCGCATCCTCCTTCACCTTGAGCGTGTCCTGCTGCTGCTTCATCTCGCGGACCTTGGCAAGGACGACCTCACGGAAGATGGCGCCCTTGATCGTCTTGGAAAGGCTGCGCTTCTCGCCAGTGGCAACTTCGTGTGCGCCAACGTGCTTGGACTGGTCTGCGGCGCTGATAGCGTCGGCTGGGAAGTCCGAGTCCTCTGTGTCCTCTTCTTGTGCCTTGAGCGTCTCGATTCTGTTGGCAAGCTTGACCATCTCGATACCGCGGCGAAGACGGGCCTTGGCCATGTAGGCCTTGATCTCGGGCAGCAAGTTGTGGTCGGTGGCATTCTCTCCGCTGAGCCACGGGTGGTGGAGAGCTTCCTGTTGTCATTGTCAGTGCTTATTTGTCGACATTGGTGCAGGGCTGGTACATACTTCACTCGACCAGCGCTTGACGGGCTCTGGTTGCAGAAGATGCAGAATGAAGTCCTTTGCATCATCGCTGACATCCTTCCAGTAACGCTCGTGGAAGACGACCTGAGCATTACTGCACTCATCGATAAGATCCTGGAGGTTCTCCGAGCGGAAAGGAGAGTAACCGCAAAGCAGAGTGTATGTGATGACACCCATGGACCACATGTCTACCGGCTTACCATGGCCCTTCTTCAACATGACCTCAGGGGCTGCGTAGCCGAAGGAACCGGCCATTGTTGTGAGGACTTCGTCTTTGCGGTCGAGCATCTTGGCGATACCGAAATCGGCCAAGACGAGATCGGACTCCATATCTCTGGTAAGGTACAGGAGGTTCTCGGGCTTCAAGTCTGATCTACTAGTTAGAAAGAAATGGGCATCTAAGTTATGGTGGCAAAACTTGCCTCTGTGTACGACGTTGTTCTGGTGCAAGTAGTTGACGGCTTCGAGGACCTGCTTGATGGTTTGCGAAGCATCCTTCTCCGTGAACTTGCCCTGCTCGCAAATACGATCGAACAGCTCTCCGCCAGTAGCTAGTTCAGTGACGATGTAGTACTTGTCCTATAAGATAGTTGTCAGTTTTGACAGTCCGGGCATGGCTTCGCAGCGGAGGATTGCTCACACGCGACTCAAACCAGTCAACGAACTTGACAATGTGAGGGTGCTTCAGACGCTGGAGCATGTCCAGCTCGTCGTAGACCATTCTCTCGTTGCCCTTCACGTTCTTCTTGAGAATAATCTTGACGGCGCACTTGCCAGTAGGACCGTCAGCCTCACGGACGATACCGTAAGTTCCAGCTCCGAGAGTGCGACCGAAGCGATATTTAGCCCTGTAGAGAGGACGTCAGGATATGGTATCTAGATATTGGTCTGGAATTGTTCGTACTTCTTATCGTAGCTCTCGGGTTGGCCCTGGAGCCTGCTGAGCATATTGGAGACTATGGGCGAGCGTGCGGTCAGCATTGCTTGTGGATTGGGAGCAGTAGGACTGGAGAAGTGTTGCGCGAGGTAGCATGTTCGCAATCACGGCAGAGCAGGACAACGACCTGGCAAGATCACAGAAGAGCAGTTCGATCCAAGAACTTACAACTCATTTTTGAGGCGGGGTTATCGGTCGCAGCGAGAGTTGTGTGTGTGGAATGATCGGTCAGACACAGCCTTGGGGATGATGGGACCGAGAAGAGGCGGGCGTCAGCGGTGGGAGTGCAGACGACGTTTATGAGGGAGAGCTTGAGGCTGGCGTAGAAAAATCGAGCAGAAAGAAGGCTCGACCCTGGACAGGACAGAGAAGCAGCGGTTGCTGATGGAGACTTCCCAGGTAGACTGGACGGGATTCGGGAGGGGGTCGAGTCGGGGTGCTGGTAGCTCTTGGTGCTTGGGTTGAGGGGGAGGTGGGGTAAAGCGGGAAGTAAGAGCGTAAGAGGGTACTTTTCTAGGCGAGCTTCACAAGCAAGAGGTACTCTTGGGATCAAGCACCTTGCACCTGTTGGTAGAATGAGAATAGGTACTTCTTGTCCCCGGGTCTGGGGGTGAATGGCGCTTGAATACATATATTCATGTGCTGCGTCCATCTGTAAAGTCTATCTGTAGAGAGCAGGTAAAGGTACCAAGGTAAAGTCACTACACAGCATACCTCCTGGAGGCAACCTAACCTAACCTTCAGGCAGTACGCTCCAGCATGTGCACAGAAAAACAAAAAAGGCGGTTGTGGCATCACCGGGAACAAGATTCAGGGGTCATGGCAGGCTGGAGTGAGCCTTGTGGGCTGGTAAGAATTGAAAAGGATGCTCAGCCGCAGAGAAATGAGGGGCAGGCCGCAGAAGAGGGAGAGCACGGACATGGCCGTGAATGAGCGACGGCATCCACGAGCACTAACGATGACGGACCAGGGTCCTGGACGTCTTGGAGTGGACCGCCGTATCCTGAACGATCAAAACGACTGGAGCTGTGGAGGCACTGGAGGCACACACCAGAGGATGAGGGAGCCGCCGAAGTGTGGCTGAGGAGGCCACTCTTTCCACCTTACACCTATCTGCTGGCTGCCCTGTCACCCTCGTGCGCCTATGACAGGCATTGACTCTTACTTCCAGGCTCCAACTCATTGGGTTTGCTGGGTCGTAAGGCTTAACCTCCGATTCGACCTGCTTGCAACCGCATCTTCAGAGGTAGATGATTCCATATCTTCCATCTTAAGTGGACGAGGCATGCTGGGTATGGTATCCGATTAGTCGACAGCTGCAGTGTCGATGGCTCCCTCCTGTCAATATTTAGACATCCATAGATCAGAGTTGCAGTGTTGCTCAGCAAAGCCTGATCTATACTCTGCATGTATCCTCCTAGCCTGGCCCATGAAGTGTTTTCGCCAGCAGACGTCATCAATGACAATTTGGGTGTTTGAGTCTGGCGTGGTTAAACGTCGGCCCTCAAGCAGGGAAATGATTCAGACAGAAAGCAGTTTGCTGGCTAAGGTAGAGACATGTGTGACATTCCAGAAGCACATATATTTGGCAGACTCTACCGCAATATCCTCAGAAATGGCGCGTGACATATGACTACGTCTAGACGGAAGTGCATGCTCATCTATCATTGCAGCGCCTTGCTGTCTTGATGTTGATACATATACCTACCTATTCTTGAGGGCTAAGAAGATTGATGGCAAAGAATTCAGTATAGGTGCCCAGTTATGAGAGGCTATTGATAACAGGACTGCCTTACACAACGAATATGTACCTAAGGCAAGGTACCTGTAGGTAGGCTGTCCCTGGCCGCTCTTGCTCTTGCTCTTCAAAGATGCAATGCTTTTTGGGTTGTCACTGGCATTGAGAAAAGTGGATCCACCGGGCCTGCGACTGGGTTACAGCACGCGCATTCGCATCGGTTCAAGATGCATTGAGCCGCCGCCAATCCTCCCCCGCGGCGTCATTTGGACCTTGAAAGTCTTAGGTAAGGTGTTCCAGCTTTCCAGTACAGTACTTTAATCTGTGTACGCAGTACACAGGTACTTCATACAGTAAACAACTTATAGAGCACCTGAGTGCTACGTGCTACGTGCTACGTAAAGAGCCAAGTGCCACCGTCCACGCCTGTAACTCGTGGACCGTCTCCAACACGCCCGCGTGTCTCAACATTGTTAAACCGACCAAACAACTGACGTTGCTGCACACTTGCCTCGTTCACTCTCATTGTTGGGCGCCTATTTGCTTTGCCGTCCTTTTTGATTTGCATCCGGCTTTCTTTAATACCCCCAGGTTGAGACCCTGAGATTTGGCTCCCGCATCGGCTGCTTCCCACATTCCTGGACACTTTTGGCTGCTGTTCTCGGCAGGAACCACCAATTCGTGGGGTCCTCCTCTCTGGGCAGCCCCTCCAAGCGACCAACAAGCCCCTCAGCAAGCAGCAAGCCGCAACCCGCCTGCCTTGCCTGGGCTGCTCCTCGAGCCGCCGACTGACAACTTCTCCTTCGCTCAACTTCTCCCTTTTCCTTCGTCGAGCCACTTTCGCCTGGGCTTCATCCTCCTCCAGCCCATTCGATCGCCCTTCAAAATGGCTTCCAGCTTTGCTTCCAAGCGGCTGGCCAAAGAGTTGTCCAAGGTTCGTAACCTCACGCCCAGCTCGCTACCTCAACCTGTCCGTCCCGCGATCGATCCATTTGCACCTTGTCGCATTGCGCGCGCTCGCCTCAGGAATATTCCTAATTCTCACAGCTCAACTCTGGCCTGCCTCCCGGTATCGAGCTCATCTCGGCCGACAACTTCGAAGAATGGATCATGGACATCAAAGTCTTGGACGACAACCCGCTGTATAAAGACCAGGTTTACAGGCTGAAATTCAAGTTCTCCCAACAATATCCCATAGGTATGCCTCTCTGCGCATACCAGCTCCTCAGTACCTCCCCAAGTAACATAATCTGGTCTATAGAACCCCCAGAGGTCACCTTCGTCAAGACCACCGAGCGACCGATTCCCATGCACCCTCATATCTACTCCAATGGCATCATCTGTCTCGATTTGCTCGGCAGCCAAGGCTGGAGTCCCGTACAGAACGTTGAGAGCGTCTGCATGAGTATACAGAGCATGTTAACAGGCAACGAAAAGAACGAGCGGCCGGCGGGAGATGACGAGTTCGTTCGGAGCAATCGCTTGCGCCCTAGAGATATTGACTTCTACTATCACGATAACACCGTTTGAACCACACAAGACATTTGCGCGGCAGGGTTGGGTATGGCGTTGTATCGGATTTCGGCATACAGAAGGGGACCCCAGGACAAGCGGAGTGTTCAGGAGCTGGTGCTCGGCTGAGGGGGAGAAGATGAGGTGACTAAGGCGATTTTGGCCCTCGTCAGCTTTCGTGGAGCGATATCTCGAAGAGATCAGTCGGGAAAATTGTGTCACGAGCGGGATCGCATCCCCGTAGAGGACGGTATTGACACCCATGTTGATGTTTGGTAGGATCAGCGGACCATGCTTTTCTTTTTTTTGGCCATGTAAGGTATACATCCTAGGTGTCCTCGACTGCGCATCATGTTAGCAAGTAGATCATATTCTAGAGCTTTCATGCTGCAAGTCTGCAGAATAAACCGTCGCGACCAGCGATCGCGAAGCATTGTTTCTGGAAACATTTCCAGGTTGAGACATTCATCGACCTGACGGATTGGATAGCGGGCGGGACACAGTGACTGGCCCCCACTGATCCGGCATGGAATTCCCCGAAAGAGCACCTGCACTGTGAGGTAGCGTAGCACCTAAATCACCCTGGTGGCCTGGCCCCGCTGACGCAAATGCTCTCTGCGCAAGATGTCCCGTACTGAGGTAGCCAATCTAATCTTTCAACCCGATAGCTCCAGGTGCTTTGCGACCACAGCTCTCCGTCACCGTTCCATCTACCTACCTCACCTTACCCCGACCACGTCACCTCGCCCAGCAGCGGTCAATCTGCGCTCCACGAAACAACACCCGGTGCCAGTTGCATGGAGAACTGAAAATGGCTCCTCGAGCTGGCTTCAATACGGACCAGATAAAGGACAAAGCGCGCAAGGACCTCCTCTACCTGCTCGAGGCTGTAAGTAAGGCATTTCGCCCCGGCTGCCTGTTCTTCGTGAGCTAACCTCGGCGTTTCCAGGTCCGGGGGAAGAAGAACCTCATTCTTGAGCGCAGCTTAGCGGGCCCGATCAGTACCATCGTCAAGGTCGCTACTCTCCAGGAATACGGCGTAGACAAGTTCTTCTTCCTCGAGAACAAGAACGCCGACACCAGCCAGCGAAATGTCATCTTCATAGCCCGCGGCGAGTGCGCTCGCCATGCGTCAGCCATAGCAGGTCAGCACCCTCCACTATCCGGATCTCACATTCTCTTTCACTTCCAATCGGATTTCTACGAAGCTTCTTAGGCTTACTCGTGCGATCATCATCATCCGTGGTCTGCCGAGAAAGACAGTGCTTGGTGGCGAGGCTTCTTGCAGCCGATCTCCATGCTACTGAGTGAGCAGCACTTCATGCTAACAACCTCTCAGAGCAGATCCGTCGCTTACAGCGAGAGAGCCAAACAGGCCATGAATTCCACATCTTCTGGGTGCCTCGACGAACACTCGTCTCCGACAAGTTGCTCGAGGAGGCCGGCGTATTGGGCGACGTGAACATCTCTGAACTGCCTTTATACTTCTTCCCGCTTGAGAAGGATCTTCTCTCCCTCGAGTTGGATGAGTCTTTCCGCGACCTGTATCTCTCGAAAGATGTCACTCCGTCATTCCTGCTCGCCAAGGCATTGATGGAGATCCAACAGAATCACGGCTTGTTTCCCCGAATCATCGGCAAAGGCGACAACGCAAAACGAGTTGCGGAGCTCCTAGCACGAATGCGACAAGAGATACTTGCGGGCGAGGATGCGAACGAGACGAATCGAGGTGGCTTGGCACCAAGCACACTCACCGAAAGCGTTATAATAATCGACCGCGAAGTGGATTTTGTCACTCCTCTGTTAACTCAACTGACCTACGAGGGACTCATCGACGAAGTATTCGGCATCCAGAACAACCAAGCTGAAGTTGATACGACAGTTGTCGGTGCCCCTTCTCAATCCTCAGCGACAAGCGCGCAAGCCAGGAAACGCAAAATCCAGCTGGATTCCTCTGATAAATTATACGAACAACTTCGCGACACAAATTTCGCCATTGTCGGTAGCTTGCTGAACAAAGTCGCTCGGCGACTTCAGAATTTGCAAAAGGACTACGAAGGACGAAACAGCCACAAATCCATCGCTGAGCTCAAGGACTTTGTCAGTAAGCTGCCCGGATATCAAGCGGAGCAGCAAAGCCTGCGCATACATACAGGTCTAGCAGAGGAGGTCATGAAGTACACACGGACAGACCAGTTCAAAGGTCTCTTGGAAGCTCAGCAGAATCTAGCTGCTGGCGCGGACCCTTCCTCACAATTCGAAGCCATCGAGGAATTAATCGCCCGCGACACACCGTTACCAGAAGTGCTGAGGCTGCTTTGCATTTACTCATGCATATCAGGCGGCATCAAACCGAAGGAATTCGACCAGTTCCGACGACTTATCCTCGAGGGCTACGGCTATCAGCACATCCTCACGCTTAATAACCTCGAGAAGCTTCAATTATTCTTGTCGCGCTCTTCTCCATTGGCAGAAATGATCCCGATGACTGGCTCTGGTGGCAACACAACAGGGACAAAGACGAACTACACGTATCTCCGCAAACTTCTGCGTCTCATCGTCGATGAAGTTCAGGAAGACGATCCAAACGACATCGCCTATGTATACAGCGGGTATGCGCCACTGTCAATCCGTCTTGTACAATGTGTGCTGCAAAAGCAGTATCTGCTCAAAGTCACCAGAGGCAATGGCGCAAGTGGTGCGACAGGAGCGTCCGCGGCTCAGGGCTGGCACGGCTTCGACGAGGCCGTAAAGCACGTCCGCGGGCAGACATTCTACGAGCTGCAAAAGGGTGAGGAGAAGGCCGTCAAAGCTCGAGCGTTGCTTTCGGGAGGCACAGAGAAGCAAACGGTATTTGTGGTGTTCGTCGGAGGTATAACATTCACCGAAATCGCTGCTTTGCGGTTCATTGCAAAGCAGGAAGAAGGTATTTATCCATATTGAACTTATCTCGTGAAGCATTGCCAAACTAATCTGTATCATTCGTAGCTCGGAGAAACATCGTCATCTGCACAACATCGATCATTAGCGGAGACCGAATGATGGATGCGGCAATTGAGAAGGATTCGTTTGCAAGAGATAACGTCAAGCCGGTGAGCCCAACTGCATGAGAAAGGGCGCAGGGTTTGTGGTGGAAGACTGGTAGAGCTGAGAGACAGGAACGCCGTATTCGGCATTTGAAGATACGACCAACATACAGATAATGAGCTTCTCGTGGAGAAGTGTTTCCCAACTAGAAGCAATCATCATTGCTCGTCGTGAATATTGGGTGTTGCTAGCCGGCAGTCTGGCCCCTCGAGTCAGTGCCTTCCTGAACTTCAGTGGTGTTGCCGGTTTTGGCTCGGGCCTGCAGTCAGCCCATATAGCACTGTGTCAGGTCGGGTGGCTTGCGACTGACGGGAGCAAAGGCCCATCACGTGACCCACCTTTTTTGTCTCGAACGCTTGAGCTCCTCATGTCCAATGCCGAACTTAGCGATTTCAACGGGTCATGTACCTGACGACTTCCTTTTATGACCGGGTTACTTTTGATTTCTCAACATACTTGTCTCAAACAATAGACTGAGTTGTTTACGACTCACCTAGTGCCTTTTCGGTATACCGCGACTTGACCTGCATCGGGACGGCTCAATCAAGCACCGAACACGGGACAGTGCCCTGCAGCTGGGGCAAGTGGCGTCTCCGCAGTCAAAAGGTAAGTACATTGCAATTGCTTCGTCTTATATCAAGTCCTGCGAGCCTGAGAACTTAAATCAGCTGACCAGGCTTATACAGCGAGACTATCCGGGTCTACCTGAGATATCGTAACATGTTATCGACTCGGGACTAGACCCGCCATATAACACCCTGGTCGGGACTCAGACTGAGCAGATTTCATCATCACCGACCATCCGCCTGCGCCAACATATATATCCATCTTTCATACTCGAGTTCAATCCGTGTCGACGACTGAAATATGAGATCAAGTCCGAGGTCTCGGGTTAAGCAGGAACCGGGGTTTGGGAAGGGATCATTGATGGATTTTCCGGATCGGGCCTCACATATATCAGACTTCACGCCTTCGAGGGCCAGTGCGATGCTCAGTCGGATATCGACTTCACACTTATCAGAATCGACGACACCAACGCCGTCAAGTCGAATCTCATCAGAAGCAATTTCAGAAATTGCCCCGGAAATCGTCGTGTGGACAGAAGACATGGACATGGACCTGGATGACTCAAGCCTGGATGAGGCGGAACATCCTTCCGGCACATTATCGGACCCTGAGTAGGTGATACACTACGGCATCTTTTCACGATGGTATCCTGGCTTCATCAGATGAATGCTGGGAGGCTCGAGATCGAGTTTAGCTGACCATCGATCAGTTCACCAATGCCCGAGGACGCGGCTGCTCCGTTAGAGACCCTCCGCATCCAGTCACACGATACCCCTCACGAATCTTTCGAGTCGCCGATGACCAATTTGTCTGATCACGACCAGTCTGAGCTTTCATCGGTCCCGCCGTCGGTGTCTAGTAAGGCAACGACCCCTGTTGAACTGGACGGGCATACGGAAGAGTCTATACCGTCAGCAGAGACCCCTCCGGTACGCGAGGCATTGCGACAGACCTTCAACGTGAAGCCGAAGTCGTCCATACCCTCGAATTTATCAAGCTATGAATATGCAAGGCAATGCATAGAAGCAGCCGAGTCATCGAGACTAAACCCGTATGCCCTGCACCAGGAAGAATATCAGATGCTGCGACAACACATCAGCCATGTTCAAGTCACCACGTATCTGAATATCAGGAACGGCATCCTCCGGCTCTGGTACAATAACCCACGTGTTGCAGTGACAAGGAACGAAGCGGTTGGTTGCGCTGGTGCCAGATGGGTTGACGTCGCAAGTATATGTTACGATTGGCTGTTACGACGCGGGTATATCAACTTTGGCTGTGTAGAGTTTCCAGCGACGAACGATCGACAAGAAGAAGAAGAAGACGTAGAGGCAGAAGTCCCGCTTAACAAGAAAAGGATTGTGATCATCGGTGCTGGTATGTCCGGCTTGGGCTGCGCCAGACATTTGGACGGCTTAATACGGCAGTATGAGGATCGTTTCCGGGCGCTCGGAGAGCCAGTGCCTGAAATAGTCGTACTGGAAGGGCGTGGGCGAGTGGGTGGAAGGGTCTACTCGAGGGAGTTCAAAACAAAACCGACAATACCACTGTCCGATTTTGACGGGGAACGGTTCACCGCCGAAATGGGCGGCATGATCATCACTGGCTTCGAACGCGGCAACCCGATGAACGTTCTCGTGCGTGCGCAATTGTGCCTCCCATACCGTGCCCTGAGATCGGAAACGACAATTTACGATTCCAGTGGCAAGCCGGTGGATTTTGCAAGGGACCAGCTCGTAGAGAGGCTCTACAATGACTGCTTAGATCGCGTCAGCGAATACAAGTTCAAGTCACAGCCCGCCAAGCTTATCGAGGGCAATCGAGACTTGATTGACGAGGCGCGAGACGCCGTGAGTGACGGCCACAGGACAATTCACCAAGCTGAGGAAGCGGTGGCGGCTCTCCCACATGCACCGCCCGTTTCGCAACAAAATGTCCCCGAACGAGTAAACCTGGTGCCGGTCTCGTCAGATAAGCTCACTGGCCGCGTCCACACTCAGCCTGGCACACCAGGTGTACTCAAGGCAACCGAGAAAGCCCAGGCAATGGGGTGGACGTTGAAGACCGGTTTGGCAAACGACGCCAATATCGATCTGAACGAGGCTGTTACTCTGCCAGCGGCCACGCTCGGTTCGGTCATGGACGAAGCCGTCCTTCAATACCGCAACATTGTCGACCTGACTGCCCAAGATCACCGTCTCATCAACTGGCACGTTGCGAATCTGGAATACAGTAACGCTACAAATCTTCATAATCTCAGTCTTGGAGGCTGGGACATTGACGCTGGCAATGAGTGGGAAGGCAAGCACACCATGATCGTCGGTGGCTACCAAAGCGTTCCCAGGGGCCTCATGCACTGTCCCACTCCTCTCGACGTACGCCCGAAATCCGCGGTCAAGAAGATCACGTACCAAACACAGAATAACGGGCGTGCTTCGATTGAGTGTGAGGACGGGACGTCCATCGACGCAGACTACGTCGTTTCGACGATACCTCTGGGAGTCTTGAAACACGGCAACGTCGCGTTCGACCCGCCATTGCCCGAGTGGAAGACGGAAGCAGTCACCCGTATAGGGTACGGAGTGCTCAACAAGCTTGTACTGGTTTATGATCAACCATTCTGGGATACGCAAAGGCACATCTTTGGCGTTCTTCGAGACGCTCCGAACCGCCACAGCCTAAACCAAAGCGACTACGGCTCTTCACGAGGCCGCTTATTCCAGTGGTTCAACGTCACGCAGACCACCGGCATACCGTGCCTCGTGGCCCTGATGGCCGGTGATGCCGGGTTTGATACGGAGCACAGCAGTAACGAGGACCTCATCGCCGAGGCGACAGAGGTCCTACGCAGCGTCTTCGGCCCCGGTGTGCCGTACCCCGCCGAGTCCGTAGTCACCCGCTGGGCTTCGGACAGGTTCGCGAGAGGAAGCTACTCCTCGGCCGGGCCGGAGATGCACCCGGACGACTACGACGCCATGTCGCGCCCCATCGGCAACCTCTTCTTCGCTGGAGAACACACAATCGGCACCCACCCGGCTACCGTCCATGGAGCCTACCTCTCAGGACTCCGCGCCGCGTCAGAGGTTCTCGAGTCGATGCTCGGCCCGATAGAGGTCCCGACACCCCTTGTCCGAAGGAAAGGAAACAACGTGTCCAACAAGCGTAAAGAAATGGAGGGACCCAAGGACCCGGAACAAATCCGCCTGGAAGCCTACGAGCTCTCCGCCTGGGAACACACCAAAGCCAAAATCGGCGAGCGGCCCGCACGCCCGGCCAAGGTAGCCGCCAACGCCTACCTCCTCTACAGCCGGGCCTTCTTCGAGGTCGCGCGCACGCGGTGCGAGGAGGAGCGCGCGGCGGCGGCCAGCAGCGGCAACGGCAACAAGAAGAAGACGGCGCCGAACGAGGTGCGCGTCATGACGTCCAAGATGTGGCGGGCCGCCTCCGTGGAAGAGAAGAAGCCGTTCGAGGACGAGGCCGCCGCGCAGAAGACGGCGTACGCCGAGGCCGTAAAGCAGTACGAGGAGACGTCGGCGCGGTGGGATAAAGAGTACGTCGAGACCATGAGCGCGTATCACCGGGAGCACCCGTACGTGCCGCTCCAGCAGAACGGAGGAGGAGGGAGCGGTAGCGGCGGTGGGAATAGTTACAGTGCTGCTACGGCGCGGCAAAGGGAGATTAATGCGCAAAAGTACCGCAGGACGAAGCATGTCAGCTACGCCGAAAGTGACGGTAGCGAGATGGAGTTTTGACGGGTTTGTTTTACCTGACGAGGCGCGGGTGGTGTGATGAGGTATTCGTTTTCTATTAAGTGAGAGGTCAGGCCGTTGGCTGTTGTTTTCTAAACGGATTTGCATGGAGGGCAAGGAAGGGTGCATTCGGGGGGCTCGTCTGTGGTGGTGGGAGTCTATTTTTGTTTCTCGTTCACGGTGTCGAGGAGTTCTGCATACCCCCCCCTCCGTACATGTCATATTTGCTCTCGTTGGAACCTTGAAAAGGTTGTAGTAGACCAGCCTTTTTAAACGTTCTGCACAGTAATTACTGTTGCTCCCGTACATAAAGGCACCCTCGTTAAAGAGTGTGCAAAACAATAAATGGCAACACGCTTATCAAACGGCACAGATTTCTCAGACTCGGGTTTAAGATAGATGAAAATAACCGATCCATATTCTAGATCAGGATGTATTCGCGAGGATTTGGTACACTGAGGGCTAAACTAGCCGCCCTTGGTAGCTTGATACAAAGGGAAGAGAGGCAATAATCATCTCTATCTGATGCGCGCGCTTTTTTGGCCAAAAAACCCGCTTTACATGTCCTCGGAGGCAGTGGCACCAGTGATAATCTCAACCAACTCTCCGGTAATGACGGCTTGACGGGTACGGTTGAAGAGAATCTGGTACTTCTGGATCATCTCACCAGCGTTCTTGGAGGCGTTCTGTCATGGCGTGTCAGTTCAAAGTACTATCTTGGACAAGAGTTTATGTCAAGGAGGGTGGTAACGTACGTCCATGGCGTTTCTACGGGCAGAGATCTCGCAGGCGTGACCCTCAGCCAGAGCCCAGTAGATGGAGTTGGCAAGAGCGTACTCGCGGAGGTTGGGGATGAGCTCCTCATCGACCTCGAAGGCGGAGAAGTTGGCTTTGAATGCAATGTCAGTTCAATTCGTCCAGTATATATCTGATTCATGTCGGGGCAAGCTTACGAGACTGGGTGATGGCCTCCTCGGAAAATGCCTCAATAGTGACAGGCTCGTAGCTGGTGGCGTTGATGAACTTGTTGTGGAGGATCTTGATGGAGGAGTAGTCGCCAGCGAGCTGAACGATCTGGTCGGCGATGGCAGATGCATCAGCAAAGGTGGGGACGTCCTTGCCGACGCCGGCGAAGGAGAGACGGATGTCCTTGGCGTTGGTGCGCTGAAGCTGGGCCTTGCACTTCTCGCCGAGGATGACGAGGTCGGCGGTGGCGTTCTTCTCGGCGAACTCGCGACGGATGGTACGGGAGAGACCAGAGTGAATACCACCGCAGAGACCCTTGTCGGAGGAGCAGATGATGATGAGCTCTCTCTTGCCCTCGCCCTCGAGGGGCTTGGTCTCGGCGGAGTCGAAGACCTCGTTGGAGGTGGCGCCGTAGACGCGAGAGTCGGACATGGCCTTCTGGGCGCGGTTGAGCTTGGTCGAGGCGACAATCTTCATCGTCTTGGTGATCTTCTCGATGTTGCGAATGGACTTGAGGCGGCCTTCGATTTCACGGAGGGTCGCGAAGTTGGCAGCGTTGGTGGGCGCGCTGGCCGTAACTCTGGAAACGCCGCACAATCAGCATGACAGCTCTCTTATCTCATTTCTCCTCTCGCTCGTGTGTTCAATTGGTATCGTTCCCAGCATGTCCCTCGAGTCCCGTCCTCTTTCATCGTTGATGGCCGACCGTCGGCACTGGTCTGACGTGTTGTCCCTTTCCTCCGATTTTCCGAGCTCAGGAAGGTGTGGATTCCGACTTACCGCGAGGGAGCCGCAGCCGCAGCTCGCAGAGCTGGTCTCGCCGCCCGGGAAAGCATTGTGAAGTTTGAGATATTAGGGATATCGAGCCTCTGCCGTTTGTGGGGAGCAATTGACCACGACCGCTTTCGAGATCAATTGAGGCTGTCGGACGGTGCTTCGGGATAGCGAGATTGGTAGGTTCGAGGTTATTTTCCTCCCCGGCTAGCAGTCTTCGCACCCGACTCCATCCACCTCGTTTTCCCGGCTAACTGAGTTTGACCGGCAGCCGGGTGGCTCAGGAAGGTCACGTGTGCTGTGAAGCTGTGGCGCAGGCTTTGGATTGGTTCGGGCCTTCCTGTGTCCTGGCAGCACCTGCCACCCGCTTACCTGTGCCTACCTACCCGGGCTTACCTAGACAGTTAGACTCCTAGGGGCAGCCCCATTAAGTTTCGCTCGTAGCTAGAAGGTCTTCGACGCCTTTCCCACCCCCGGCCTTCTTTTTTCGTTCCCTCGATCCCTCGAAAAAAAATCCTCGTCTTCCCTTTCGATTCGAAGAGACGTGGGTGCCATTCCCTACGTCTTTCAACTCACCAAGTGGCGGCCTTTCCAACCATCCGGCTTTTGCCTCTATATCTACGCGATTCTTCCGCGCGGATCGGCTTCTACAACAACTTTTTCTGCTCCACCAAGCCCCGGTTTTGGACTTTGCGATTCAGTTCTTACTTAACCGTCCGTAAACGTCGCGAACCGAGACCTTTTCCCACCATGAGTTCCTCAGACGACGACGCACCTCTTGCGAGGTCGAACGGACATAGTAAGTACGCTAAGAAACATAAACTTTTGCGCTTTCGGACGCTTTACCCTTCGCGCCTGCCACTTTACGCCGGACGTGTCACTTTTTCCCTCCTCTCGCCCCAGCGAACCCACCTGACTCGTCGCGTACTTCCTGCATCCCGGCTTTGCCTACGAAACCAAATGAAAACTTAACAGCTTTCTAACCTGATCACCGACAGTTTCTGCATCGAGGATATCGAAAGCCGACGACATCGCCATGGACAGAACCGCCTCCAAGGCACGAGCGGCCCCGCCCGGTCTCTCTATCCGCAATGGACCCGTAGAGGATGACGATGCGATGGACGTCGATGGCCCATCGACGAACGGCAAGCGCAAGTCTCGTTCATCATTGCCCAAGGTCAATTACAAGGACGAAACCGAAGATAGCGACGACGATGCTCCTTTGGTAGGTTACACATGGCAGGCAGGCAGACGGTGGCGGAGTCCGAGGCTGACAGCGACTCTAGGCCAAGCGACAAAAGACCAAGGTCAAGGCACCAGAAACGGATTCGGACGACGAACCTCTCACTTCGAAGAGGGGCAAGAACCTACCTCCTTCCTACAGGGAGACAGCCTTGCCCGACGAATCCTCCGATGATGATCAGCCATTGGGCGCCAGGCTCGCGCAAAAGAAGGCGGACATTGAGAAGGCAGCCGCCAAGGAGGCTCGCAACATTCGTGCCAGCGAGGCCAAGGCAAAGAAGGCAACCCCGAAGAAGGCGAAAAAGGAAGAGTCCTCCGACGACGATGTGCCTTTGGCCAGGTCAGGAGCAAAGAAGCGCCAATCGAACGGCGCCAGAAAGTCAAATGGGGTTAAATCCGAATCCGACTCCGATATGCCTATCGCAAGAAAGGCTGCAGCGAAGAAGGCCACCCCGGCCAAGGCTACGGCAGCAAAGGGCAAGGCTGCCGCAGCACCAGCCAAGAAGGGAGCAAAGGCCAAGGCGGAAAGCGAGGCTCCTGAAGACGAGGAGGAGGAAGAGTACGAATGGTGGAACGCCCCTAAGAAGGAGGATGACAGCGTCAAGTGGAAGACCTTGGAGCACAACGGCGTCATGTTCCCACCCGAATACCAGCCCCTCCCCAAGAACGTCAGACTGCTCTACGATGGCAAGCCGGTCAACCTGCCCGTCGAGGCCGAAGAAGTTGCCGGTTTCTTCGGAGCGATGCTTAACTCTAAGCACAATGTCGACAATCCCGTCTTCCAGAAGAACTTCTTCGACGATTTCAAGGCCGTTCTCAAGGAGTCAGGCCAAGCAACCGACAAGCAAGGCAACAAGGTCGACATCAAGGACTTCATGAAGATGGACTTCGAGCCCATCTTCAATTACTACGAGCAACAGAGCGCCATCAGAAAGAATCGGACAGCTGCAGAGAAGAAGGCAATCAAGGCTGAGAAGGATGAGACGGAAGCTCCCTTCATGTACTGCAAGTGGGACGGCCGCAAGGAAAAGGTTGGCAACTTCCGCGTTGAACCTCCAAGTCTATTCCGCGGCCGTGGCGAGCACCCAAAGACTGGAAAGCTCAAGAAGCGAGTGTATCCTGAGCAAATCACCATCAACATTGGCAAGGACGCCAAGGTTCCGACACCGCCCAAGGGTCACAAGTGGAAGGCGGTTGTTCACGACAACAAGGCTACTTGGCTGGCTATGTGGCAGGAGAACATCAACGGTGCATACAAGTACGTGATGCTTGGCGCTGCCAGTGCAATCAAGGGTCAGAGCGACATGAAGAAGTTTGAAAAGGCAAGAGAACTCAAGAAGCACATCGACAAGATTCGAAGGGATTACACGAAGGATCTCAAGAGCGAGGTCATGGCGGACCGACAAAGAGCCACGGCCGTGTACCTGATTGACAAGTTTGCTCTCAGAGCTGGCAACGAGAAGGACTCTGAGAACGAAGCCGAGACCGTCGGCTGCTGCTCCCTCAAGTATGAGCATATCACCCTGCGCGAGCCCAATACCGTCATCTTCGACTTCCTCGGAAAGGACAGTATTCGATTCTACGATGAGGTCACTGTTGAGAAGCAGGTCTTCAAGAACTTGAAGCTCTTCAAGAAGTCGCCCAAGACCGACGGTGACGACATTTTCGACCGCCTGACCACTACGCAGCTGAACAACCATCTCAAGAACTACATGCCGGGCCTGACAGCAAAGGTGTTCCGTACCTACAACGCGTCCTTCACCATGTCCACTCTCCTCCAGAAGCTTGTCGATCACAAGAACCTGACGATTGCGGAGAAGGTGAAGCTGTACAACGACTGCAACCGTGAGGTAGCCATTCTTTGCAACCACAAGCGCACTGTCGGTGCTGCCCATGAGGCACAGATGGAGAAACTCGGCGACCGCATCAAGGGCCTCCGGTATCAGCAATGGCGCCTGAAGCAGATGATGCTTCAGATCGACAACAAGGTGAAGAAGAAGAAGGGTGCCGAATACTTTGCTCGCCCCGAAGAGTTGACCGATGAGTGGATCCTCGAGCACCAAAAGTTCTTGGTGGAAGAGCAGCGCACCAAAATTGAGAAGAAATTCCAAAAGGATAACGAGAAACGCCTGGCCGATGGCGAGAAGCCGTTCCCCGATAAGGAGCGTAAGGAGCGCCTTAAGGCTGCGGACGAGCTCGCCGCCAAGTTCAAGAAAGAGAACAAGTCCAAGAAGGTCGAGCCGGAAGGCCGAGGCCCTACGGTTGAGAAGCTTGTTGAGCAGGCCAAGAAGATTGATGACAGAGTCAAGACTTTGGAGCTTCAGGCTGCTGATCGTGATGGCAACAAGGAGGTTGCCTTGAGCACCTCCAAGATCGTAAGTTATTCGCTTGGCTGAAATGATTTCAAAGCTAACATATTTCAGAACTACATTGATCCGCGCCTTACGGTTGTCTTTGCCAAGAAGTTTGACGTTCCTATTGAGAAGTTCTTCTCCAAGACGCTGCGCGAAAAGTTCAGCTGGGCCATCAAGTCTGTTGAGGATGATGACTGGGAGTTCTGATCGCGTTCTTTCCAGAACTTCAGTTGCTTTGCTGAACCAACCCCATCGTATCTCGTCACTTTTACTGTATTTGTTTGTTTGTACCAAAAGCATTTCTATTTCAGCATTTTACCCCGGGCCTGGGACGTCCTGCCAGTTAGGGACCACTCTACGCGATGGCCCAACTCGGTATCTGGAGAAAGTCACTCAGGACGGCAAGGAGAAAAAGGTATATATCAGCTGCGGTTGAGGGCGCGAGGAAGTGCCAATGCATACAGCGAAGAGAGGGGGTGTTGCTTAAAGAGATAAAACGGGGCTTTTGTAGAGAACGGTGACCTGGGGGCCACCGTCCGCCGGTTACGCCTTTTTGCTATAGAGCCACAAGTAGGCCACAGCAGACTAGACTAGCTTAGTTAATTAAAACAACAGCGAATTCAGCAACTCAGAGTGTCGCATAGATGTGATGTCAGGCTTCAACAAGTCGTTCCCCAAAGGTTGGGGTTCGACAATACGCAGCAGGTCTTCATTGCTTACGGGGACATGGCACGACTTTTTTGCTCTGCCAAACCCAACCAAAGGCTGAGAACACGAAGCGGAGTAGTTTTTCGAGGTGGTTGCAGAATGTTGATGGTGAAGCGGGCTGGTGGTTCAATGTCTGAGGGAATTGAGGCTTGTAAACCTGTACCTCCATGTCACTCAGTTGAACGGCATTTACAGAACAAAAACGGCTTCTACGCCACACCAAACCTAAAACAGTCAATGAAATAAAGTGCAAAATGAACAATGAGTGCACCGATTGAGATTTCTAGAAGGCTGTGGGAAAATAGCCCAAAAAGCAAATGACACCGACGTTGGCCTGATTCGAACAGACGCTCCCGAAGGAACAAGATTTCTAGTCTTGCGCATTAGACCACTCTGCCACAACGCCTCATGTCTTACTTGAACGGTAAAGTCGTCCTAGTTGCCTAGCGGTCCCAGACCCACTCTGGTTCCTCCGTCCGGGCTGCCCGCTCCTCGAAGCGACGACGAGAAATCACAATCCAAAGGGATCAACTCGGTTGGATAAACTGCTTTCCGATCCATTCGCTTCGGGTGATTCTTCACGCAGGACATTGCTGCGTCTATTCTATTTACAAAAGTAATGCGTCTTATACGTTTCAAATCCAATTCGTATGGTTTCCCGTCCCTTGATGCTCCCCAAACGCCGTCCAATGCATAGGCTTCTTCTCAATGTGAGCCGTCCGTTTTTCTAATATCGTGCCTCCAGGAACCAGCAAATG